CATGGACTCGTTAAAGTTTAATTCAAATTCCTATTATTTTGTGTTATGAAGAGACAGTAATTCCTGCAAGTGTAAAATTAAATTTCTTTTCTTTATTGATGAACATTTAAAGTAATATTCCATTGTTTGTACATAAAAACACTTTGCGGGCCCCAGTATGTTGAGAATAGTACGAAGTAATAACGTTACGTTTCCCGTATTCACGTTCACATGTTTGTGACGTTACTTTCACCTTGTTGTATGGGCTTCGCTTTTGTAAATATTATACGCAAAGTAAACACAAGGCAAAGTACATATACGACTTACTTAGTTTATTCCACACAGCACTATTGACTTTTTTATGAAAATTGGTACACATAATCTTCATCCGTAATCAAACTAAATGTTATTTAAAAAAAGAGGGGTCCATGAACTCGTTTTCAAGTTAAATCCGTTTGAATGATAAAAATCAGTCGAAAACTTCATCTTTTCCCGATAAGTCACAGTTTGACGTCGCGGAAATAACAATTTACGTTAGCAACGTCATTACCTCCCATGTAACTATATCGTATGCCCTTAACCTACGACGGCTTTGTGAAACGGCTGTAAAACCTACGATTTATTTACGATGAACGTACGATGACACGTAGACTTACGAAGGCTTTCTGAAACGGTACCCTGGACTGGAAATCAGAAATCTCGAACAATATTTTGACCAAACAATTCGACTTGACTGGGAAGAGGCAAGTTCAAATGACTGAAATGCGATTTCCTGTACCTACAATGTATTTAACAGTGAGTTTATGGTTTTTTTTTTATCAAAGAAGGTGTATCATATAATAAAGTCTTATGAATTGGCTGTTTCTGTATCGACCCTTTTATGCATGTAGATTGATGATCACATGTATTGGCCCTCAACCCTTTTCATTCTCAGGGCCAATAAGCTTATATAACCTTGAATCTATAACGGGGTCAATACAGAAACAGGCAGTTTTAAAGTATTGAGAAATTTGTAGGGAGCCAGGAGGGGTGTTGAAATACTCATTGCTTTTGGAAGGGGTTCTTGAATATATTTTCCTTCAAGGTTGGACTTGAACAAAATATGAAAAATTACAATTTTTCCTTCCAGGTCCTTCCTTTTTCCTTCGTGTTTGAAGATATTAATTTGATATTTGGTATATAGTTTTATCATGACCACTTACAGATCAAATTTGATATTTGTTCCGGTCTGATGATTTTGTGCAGAGTTATGTTCCTTGGATTAAGAAATTTCAGGCAAGTAATCAGTTTTCCGTATTTTTTGAGTTGGTATTTGGTATATTTTGTTTTACAATGACAAGTTACAGACCAAGTTTGAATTTTGTTCGGTTAGGATGTTTTTTTTGAAAGTGTTATGGTCCTCGAACTTAGAAAATTCACGCAAATAATCAGTTTTCCAAAAACTTTTTTTCGTCATGCTTGAAGATTTTGATTTGATATTCATTATATAGTTTAACCATGTTAACACCAGGACAAGTTATAGATCAAGTTAGTTGTTCCAGTGCAATGAATGTTAAACTGGTAGTGGACTATGTATTGCCATGCAATACTCTCAGAATGCTTGTTTTAATTGTTTTGTCGCTGTGAAATACCCCTTTATTATGAGTTATAGGGTAACTTTATTTGGTATATTGGATGCTTCCAAGGTCTACATATATCCGTCAGACATGGTTCACCTGACCTCAACCTCATTTCATGGATCTGATCAATGTTGCGTTTTTGTGGTCAAGTCCGTATCTCAGATACTATAAGCCAACTATAGGTCAACTATATTTGGTGTTGAATGACTAAACGGTGTACATGTTCGACTGGCAGGTTTCATCTGAACATGACCTCATTTTCATGGCTAATTTGTCAATGTTAATTTTTTATACGCCCGTTTACGGGACGTATTATGGTATACCGTTGTCCGTCTGTCCGTCTGTCCGTCCGTCGTCAAAATGTCTGACATTAACTCGAAAACGCTTTAACCAATTTGCATAAAACTTTGGTGAATTATTTATATCTATTGACGTGAGCTCCCTTTCGTTTTTTATAAATTTTAAATTTTACGTTTCTGAGTTATAGGGTTTTATTCATTAAAAAAGGGGGGATTTTCCAGTTTTCGGGCAATCACTCAAGAATGCTTTCACCAACTTGCAAGAAATTGTGGTGAATTGTTTATATCTATTGACATGAGCTCCCTTTCGATTTTTATAAATTTTAGCTTTTACGTTTTCGAGTTACAGGGTTTTATTCATAAAAAAGGGGGATTTTCCAGTTTTCCGACAAAAACTCAAAAATGCTTTCAGCAGTTCTTATGAAACTATGGTGAATTGTTTATATCTATTTAAGTAATCTCCTTTTAGAATTTTATAAATTTTACATTTTACATTTCTGAGTTATGGGGTTTTATTCATTAAAAAAGGGGGGATTTCCCAGTTTTCGGACAATAACTCAAAAATGCTGTCAACAATTCTCATGAAACTTTGGTGAATTGTTTAAATCTATTGATGTAAGCTCCCTTTTGATTTTCATAAATTTCTAATATGACATTGAGAATTAATTGAACTTTTTTTTTTTATAGTCTGACAACAGATTTACTTAGTATTGCAACAGCAAGAAATCTTTAATTGAATATAAATTCAATTCATATAACCAATTTCAAGTTCTTTGACTACATTTATTCAGAAACCTGTAATATGTCAAACATTTAATTACAATCCAAATTCAGACCTGTATCAAGCTTGAATATTGTGTCCATTTTTGCCCCAACTGTTCAGGGTTGGACCTCTGCGGGCGTATCCAGCTGCGCTCAGCGAAGCAGTTTATTGTGGTTTGGTCTGTTTCTCAGATACTATAAACAGAAGATTAGCTGTATTTGGTGTATGGAATGAATGTAAGGTGTATATGTCTTTTGACTGGTTTCATCTGACCCTTGACCTTTTTGTTGGGGGGTTCATTGGATAATGTTTTAAGTTTTTCCTGTTTGGGCTCTATCTATGATACTATAAGCCAAAGGGCAATTTTATTTTGTATATATCTTGGAATGCTTGTTAGGTAGATCTGATTGGAAAGTTTTCATGGTTTTGTCCATTTATCAAATACTGTAAGCCATTGGTCAACTTTATTTGTTGTAAGGAATGATTGTAAGGTGTACATGTCTGTCAGGTAAGGTTCATCAGACCTTGACCTCATTTTCATGGTTCATTAATTTAGTCAATGTTCAATTTTGGCAATCCGGTCTGTTTCTCTGGCCCTTTGGATTACACTATCGGAGTATATGCAATAGGCCAACTTTGTTTGGTGTATGGTATGAAATTTAATTTAATCAAGTAAAGCAGGCGAGACATTTCAGCATGTGCACTCTTGATGTCATTTTAGTTGCATTTTATTAAGTTAGTTATTTGTGAGTCTAGATAAAGTTGCCTTCACAAAGACTTTTAATAATCTGACCTCGTCCACTATATTGAAATTCAAAATTTTTCACACCAGCTTTACTGTACTTGTATTTTTCTCCCTCTAAATATTGAAACCTCAAAAAATAGAAACGTCTTTTCCCCCAGAGCTCCCAAGCTCTTTGATTAAGCCATTGGTTTGAAAAAAAAAATTGGGCATCTTTTCCACACCACTTTACTATTATACAGGCGTTGTTTTTCTTGTTTATGAAAGAATTGATAAACGAATCAAAAATGAATGATCTATGAATTATCAGAAATTTATTATATACTATCAGATTATTCAATCCATCTTGCATGGATTTGTTTAGGCTTTACCTTTTGTCCAATCCCTTTGTTTACATGTACGTTTGATATTTGAACAATAAAATATTTTGAATTTAATTGAATTGAATAAAAGAATTCAATGTCATTATAAGTATCATTCTTTTGCATATTACTGATTTGAGATGGGTTTGAATATTAAAACTGCTAATTATTTTAATTATAGCAACACATAAAGATTGAATTTCAAATCTGCTTCTTCTATTGCAAGTTCTATTGAATATGACTTTAGGATCTCACAACAAGATATTCATGACTAAAGCAACCATAAGGATCTGCTTATTGAACATTTATGAAACAACTTCAATAAACTACATCATAGTAGATTCATTGATAGAATAAAACAACCAATTTTGCGGTTTAATTAAAGTGCCTTTGTTTGTCATATGTTGACTTTGATAAATAATCATTTGTTTCATTTATTTGAATATTATTGAATATTAAATTTTGGTTGCAGATGTACCTAAAGTTTTTTTCTTTTACAGAAACATACACTACACATACTGAGATCTGTATCATGTATTTATAAGACAGGTTTTGTAGCATCCTCCATTTCTGATTTCTGGTCAGACTGCCATTAACACATGAAAATTACGATGTTTCTTTGTGAAATTGTACTCAAGAATACAAAAAATGTCAATGTGTTATGGGGCATCAAAATCGATGGGAAGGATAAATTTCGTGCATCCAATGCGCTTTTGAATTTTTTAAATCTTTATCGGGAACGCTCAAATCAAAATATTAGAAATAATAGAAAGCCAGGAATGTATATATACATGATATACAAATGTACCTAGAAATATAAGGAACTTAATGACCAAAAAGGAACCCTAAAGGCATAGCCAATTCATCTAAGGTCTTTGCCTAAGCAAGTTGGACCACCAGTTTCTTGGTAATTTCCAAATATATTAGAATATAATGTAAAAAGTCATTCACCGAAGCGCAGACTTCTGGGCTGATGATGCCAATCATTTACTTTAATGGCCAGTTATTTACTGTTTAAGATGCTCACATATAGTTATGTACACATATCATTTAAACGTACTTTTTAAAGTTCGTTAAATGCATCCCTGAACCAACCGTTTCATTCTTATGTTCAACAGTCTACAAACTCTTTCTTAACTGATGAATTGATTAGGTTACTGCTTAGATGAAATAGCAGCTACTAGATATTATTATTAATTTCCTTAATGTTTTTTAGATATATTTAAACGATAAATATGTTGTTTCACAACAGTTTTTATTCATTCTAAACACAGAGAGAACCTCTCCTGTTATGCAGGCAACACTCTTTATTCACACATCCAAGGGAATCTGTACAGATTAGAAATAGATAATATACTTCTCACTTTAAAGTTTTTCTAAAGTTAGGCAAAATCTTCGAGTTAGTAGTAGTCTATAACGAAAGGAAAAACATGGAAAATTCTTGATGTATCATTTTTTTCATCTTCAATACATCAACTTGTACCTCCCATTACATAATCAACTTTCTCTTCTACCCTCTTGCAACCTGTCGCTGAAAACAATTTGTCTGTTTCATTTGGATAAAACTGGAGTTGCTGAGCAATTTCTTCAATTGTTTTAATCGGAATGTCTATGTAATGTTTATAATACCTTTTCGCTAGTAGGTGATGTTTAATGCAGCCAAACACATGCTCTTTTTCAATAGGTAGAAATGGGATGTATGCTGTGATAAGGTCATGGAATATTAGATCACTTTTGTAATATCCACCTAAAAGTAAAAGGCACGTTAGATTATTTGAATTACTTTCAACGTATATAAGTTATAAAGGAATATTATTTTAAAGTTATACATTTGTGCTGAATTTCATATTAAAGTGATAACAATAAACTTTTTTAAACCGTTTTTATCAAGGCGAAACTAATATATATATATACATATGGTTATTATTTGCATAGAAAACAGACAGAACCACTTCATGGTCGGCTTGGTCAAAATATACCGAACTGTTAAAAATGATTAAACTCCAACTGATATTCCTCTTTATGTGGACTAACACTTAAGAAACAAAATACACACCCACTAATAAAACATAAGAATATGTGGTATGATTGCCAATGCGATGACGTAAAAGTAAGCAACTATAGGTCACCATACAGCCTTGAATAATCATTGAGCAAAACCGATACCGCATAGCAAGCTGTAAAAAATGCCCTACATGGCAAAAAAATTAAAACGAGAAAACGAATAAAATAAAAATGATATACAGCAACACAAAACAACCACTGAATCAAAGGTTTATGACTTGGGACAAGCACATACAGAATGTTGCAGGGTTTAGCATGTTCAGGGACGTCCAACCCTCCCCTAAGCTTGGATAGTGATGAAAGAGCACAACTTTAGAACAAACTATAAAATCATGTATCAGTTTGGCACAAAACACACACAGACTTACAAAGTAAAACACAAATATGGCCTTACTTATTGTACAAATTGAGGTTTACTCACTTCCCTCATAATTACTAGCAGATGTTGCTAGTACATTTTCCAAATCCTTTAAATCAATTTCATCACGCTTCTTGCCGTCATGCCAGAAGTCAATCATTTGTTTGGTTAACAGTTGACCAGCTGTGTTGCTAAAGAAATAAAGTCATAGATTGTCTTTTGAGTTATGAAATAATTATAAGTAGTTGATCTTGTGTACAAAAGTTTTGAAATCTACTCGAATGTGAAAACTTAATAGTCTTAAATAATATACTTCAAAGTGTTTTCAAACATCTATGAAATCAAGATGCTATTCATGCGTTTTGATTCTTGCCGAATATTGATATTTTGTGTTTTGTTTTGCTTTGATCAAAAGGACTTCTTCAACAAAACTAAATTTAATCTACATTTGAAGAAAAACAACACATGTTCTTACTTTCGAAAGAATTTGGGTTTTGGTTTCGAATGTCCATACTATTCATTTCCGATGTAAACAAAAAACATTTGTCGATATATTTCAAAATGACTATGCTTAGAAATGTAGAACATTCACTAGTGATATTTAGTTTTAAAAGTTCAAAAGATGGACAAAATGTTGTCAGAACATAAAAGTACAATGTACATACATCGAACTGAAATACTATAAATTGAAGATTGAAACACTTTTCCAAAATGACACGTGTTTGTTAAACTAATATCAATGAAATAAGCCCTACTTTTACATTAACCGGTCAAAGCATGCGAAGCTTAAATTTGCCGTTGAAAAGAATATGCTCTGCAGTGAGCAAACTCATATACATCCTAAATAAGTGCGACAGTGAAATATGTCAAGCTCGTGCAGAGGTTCCACTAGTAAACCAATTTTGAATTGAAACGGCCATTGTAATCTGAATAGCTCTTATAAGAGACTGAAAAATAGATTATTAAGTTATTTTCAGTCTTGCAGTAAATGTTTAAACTAACCACTGCGGTAAATTCATGTCTGTTTAGACAATGCGTTTGCAACATAGGCACTTGTCTCAGAATTTTTTTCCCCTATATACCTTAATATAACATTAAGGTATATAGGAAATTTTTTTTCTGAGACAAGTGCCTGTGGTTTGCAACCAAGATCTATTCAGCCTATATCCACAGTTCAGGAGTTGTTATTTATCTGTACACATCAACATCATACTAAATTGTCTTAAAAGCTTTGTTTACCTGTACACATCAACATCATACTGAATTGTCTAAAAAGCTTTATTTACCTGTACACATCAACATCATACTGATTGTCTAAAAAGCTGTATTTACCTGTACACATCAACATCATACTGAATTGTCTAAAAAGCTTTATTTACCTGTACACATCAACATCATACTGATTGTCTAAAAAGCTTTATTTACCTGTACACATCAACATCATACTGATTGTCTAAAAAGCTTTATTTACCTGTACACATCAACATCATACTGAATTGTCTATAAAGCTTTATTTACCTGTACACATCAACATCATACTGAATTGTCTATAAAGCTTTATTTACCTGTACACATCAACATCATACTGAATTGTCTAAAAAGCTTTATTTACCTGTACACATCAACATCATACTGAATTGTCTAAAAAGCTTTATTTACCTGTACACATCAACATCATACTGAATTGTCTAAAAAGCTTAACGATAATGTTAAGACCATAATAAACGGTTAATACTAAATTTCTAGTGTTTGCAGTGTTACAAAATGTATAAAATAAATTACCTCAAGAAAATGAATATGGCTTTTCTATAATCGATGTTGTCAATGTGCTCGTGGTGGTCCAGATATGGTTTTAATATGTTAATAAGGTCAGGTGATAGCTTATCCACTTCGTCAAATATAAACATAGATCGCTCGCATTGTTTTACTTTGTCTTCTATTAATTTTCTAAGTTTAATCTGCAAAAAATGCACGGGTGTAAAAATATACATTTTAAAATATAAGGGGAAACTCTCTACCAGAGACCAAATGACATAGAAGTTTACAACTATAGGTCACCATACGGCCTTTAACGACGAGTAAAACCCATACCGCATAGTAAGCTATAAAAAGCTTTGAAATGACGGTTGTAAAACAATTCAAAAGGGAAAGCTAATTAACGATCTGATTTATGTACAAAACAATAAAGGAAAGTAAATATGTAATACAACAACAAACGACAACCACTGAATTACAAGTCCCTGGCCTTGGACAGTTACATACAGAATGTGGCAGGGTTAAACTCCCCTAACCTGGGACAGTGGTGTAACAGCACAACATATGAACAAACACTAAAAACCAATAGCAATTGTCTGAACTACAAAAATCGGTACGAGGCACAAAAACTGCTAACATTAAAACAAGCACCGTAAAAAGTGTAATTGCAGTTACTGAAATCTAGTTTAAAGCCATTAAAACTATTAGATTAATCATGTTCTCCCAATCTAAAGTATCAATCAGAACACATCCAACGTATTTAATGTAAGGACGTTAAAAAACGTATGGCCTTGTGCAATGCCAAAATATAAGTAAACAGTATCGACATGATGTAGGATACTGAGTTCTTATAACTGTTCATAAATAGCAATATATATATATTTAGTTATGTTTTAATTTTTCAAAAACAAAATCAATGTTAGTAACAATAAAAGCGAGATTTAAAGATTTTACTACTGTGTTAAATCGATAACCTTTAATGAAAATGTTATTTAAAGGATCAATTAGTTTACATGGATCGTATCTAAATTTACGGACTTTATAATTAACATCATCGTACAGCAAAAATGTTTGTTTATACCTTATATCGTCGTCACACTTGATAACAGGAAAACTAATTTTGAACGAAATATGTTTTATTCTATATACATGATATACATAATATAATTATTGTACAACACTTCGATATCTTAAACTCACATTATTTTCATCTGTATTCCGTTTGTGAGGAAAATCTCTAGTAGCTATAACCGTATGAACAAATTGACTTTTAGAGCCTTCATTGTACAAATGATCAACTAATATTTTGGTGATCAAAGTTTTTCCGGTTCCTGGTCCGCCATGGAAGGAAAATGTCAAGGCTTTGGGCGGATTTTCATTCATGAAATGAGCATTAAGGTGATTAACAACTGTCTTCACGGCGATATGTTCTCCATATACACGGGTATTCAAGGTATTTGTTAATTCTAGAATAAAATGTTGTAAGAAGATGAGAAATATAATGATGGAATTTTCATATATAAATTCTCGAGAATAAAATTTCGTACATACACGAGAAATGACAAAATAAGAGCTTTAAGGGGACATTTTGATATAAAGTATTTTGAGTTAAAATCCAGGGTCATTTCGAAAATTCTTTCAGGTATAAAATTGTCATGAGATATATAGTGATTACTTCAAAACAATTTACCCCACAACATTTATAAATCTATAGGCACAAGAATCGAAATGTCTAACAAGAAAATTGTACTAGTGCCTTGAAATTGTTTTCTTTAAAATATTTTGTCATGATGTTGTCAAATTTTCGATTCCCTTAGCCTGATGAGTTTACAAACAACTTTGTTCGAATACATTCCGAAAGAACGTGTTTCTATGGTGGTAACAATTGTAAAAATATATAACAATCAAAAACATAATGCAAATAAACTTGAATGTTTTGAATGATGTTACCTGCTGTATCTAAATGAATCCATCTTTCATTGCAACTTTCATTATATATGCTGTGAACTGAAATACTTATGATCCAACAAGTGAAAAATAACGTTGTAAATCCTATACTCGTTACAATTGTAATCAAGCATTCACTGCCAAGAAATAATTGAAAGAAGCTATGAATAGCTACTTGATAATTTCTAGACATCCTATCGCAATGTTGACTTTCTGTTTCTATATCGTTAATGTAAAAAAAACCTAGTTTTCGTTTGTTGAAATTTCCGAAAATCGATTTAAATTTACTTTTTTTAAAATACCCAGTTCTATTTTTAGCTTTTAAAGGTAAAGTTAAAGCCACAGGTATATAATCAACAACGAAATCGTGTGAACTTGTGTCGGTTATTTTTATCGTTCTGCCTTTCACAACATTCTACTTCTTTAGAGCGCATGTATTTGGGTTCCAGTTGTGTTCCATATTTCAGGTTTTATCTGGGTTGTGCCGTTGTATTAAAGCCAAAAAATTATATGTTAATTCGGCAATAGTTGACCTATACGAGTTCGTAAATGCATTGAATATATTTCTTTATTTTTTTTTATGAATATGTTTCTGGATTTATTTTTAGAACCTAAATGGACATGATGGATAAGCTTTCAGTTAAAAATAATTACAACCCTGTATCATCCCATCGTAATGCATCAGGAGTCGCTTAAGATTTCATTCTGGGTACCATCTTCAATGGGGTAAAATGAAAACAAATAATTTTGATCTTGTAACCTTCAAGATTCACTAAATACATATATATCAGTTTCCTGTTCCCTTTGCGCAATCTCCATTTCATGACGTTTTATGACTTTCCTCAATGTTAACATCATTCAACTACGAGAAAATAATTATCTGTGTTTTTAACTATCAACTAGACTGATGTATTCGTGCCTCAATCAGACTATAATACATCGCTGTAATTTGAAGAGATGTTGCTTTCACCAGTATATCATACCTGAATTGAGAGTGGGTGACACGGGGGTGCTCATTTCCCAAATCCCGCTGTTTTTTGTGGTATTGGAGAGGCATAATTTAAAGGTTTTTACTATGTGTTTAATTCAAATACTATGTGTTTAATTGCAAATTATTACATAGATAATAATTGTGAATTGACATCGTCGTTACTTACTTCCGAAGGAACTGTGAGCTTTAGCCATCACTTGGCGTCCGTCGTCGTCCGTCGTCGTCCGTCTGGTGTAAACTATTTCAAACATATTCTCCTCTGAAACTACTGAACCAATTCCAACCAAACTTAAGCTGAATGATCCTTAGGGTATCTAGAATAAAGTTTGTGCTTTATTTTCTGTTTCATAAAAAACATGGCCGCCATGGCTAAAAAAAGAACATAGGGGGTAAAATGCAGTTTTTGGCTTATATCTCAAAAACCAAAGCAGTTAGAGCAAACCTGGCAAGGAGTTAAAGTATTCATAAGTTAAAGTTCTATCAGCCCTGAAATTTTCAGATGAATCTAATAACCCAATGTTGGGTTGCTGCCACTAAATTGGTAATTTTAAGGAAATTTTGCAGTTTTTGGTTACTATCTTGAATAGTTTTAATGATAAATAAAACTGTAAACAGCAGATATGTTCAGCAAAGTAAGATCTACAAATAAGTTTTATATGACCAAAATTGTCAATTGACCCCTTAAAGAGTTATTGACCTTTAAGGACAATTTTACACAATTTGTTTATCATGTTTTCTAACTTTAAAATCTTCTCCTCTGAAACCACTTAACCAATTCCAACCAAACTTAAGCTGAATGATCCTTAAGGTATTTAGAATAAAGTTTGTGTTTTATTTTTTGTTTCGTCAAAAAACATGGCCACCATGGCTCAAAATAGAACATAGGGGTAAAATGCAGTTTTTGGCTTATATCTCAAAAATCAAAGGAGTAAGAACAAATCTGACATGGGTAAAAGTGTTCATTAGGTGAAGTTCTATCAGCCCTGAAATTTTCAGATGAATCTAATAACCCAATGTTGGGTTGCTGCCACTAAATTGGTAATTTTAAGGAAATTTTGCAGTTTTTGGTTATTATCTTGAATAGTTTTAATGATAAAGATAAACTGTAAACAGCAAATATGTTCAGCAAAGTAAGATCTACAAATAAGTGTTATATGAAAAAAATTGTCAATTGACCCCTTAAAGAGTTATTGACCTTTAAGGACAATTTAACACAACTTGTTTATCATGTTTTCTAACTTTAAAAAATCTTCTCCTCTGAAACCACTGAACCAATTCCAACCAAACTTAAGGTGAATGATCCTTAGGGTATCTAAAATAAAGATTGTGTGTTATTTTCTGTTTCTTCAAAAAACATGGCCGCCAAGGCTAAAATTAGAACATAGGGGTAAAATGCAGTTTTTGACTAATATATCTCAAACACTTATTATATATAAGCAATTAGAGCAAATCTGATGAGAGGTTAAAATGTTCATTAGGCCAAGTTGTATCAGCCATGAAATTTTCAGACGAATCTAACAGTCCATTGTTGGGTTGCTGCCACTAAATTGGTAATTTTAGGGAATTTTGCAGCTTTTTGGTTATTATCTTGAATATTATTAATGATAAAGATAAACTGTGAACAGCAAAAATGTTCAACAAAGTAAGATCTACAAATAAGTTAATATGACGAAAATTGTCAAATGCGTTCTTAAGGAGTTATTGCCCTTTAAAGACATTTTTTCACAATTTGTTCATCTAGTTTGCTTACTTTAAAAAATCTTCTCCTTTGAAACTGCTGAATCAATTTCAGCCAAACTTTGGCTGAATGAGTTTCATAGTATATAGTATAAATTTTGTATTTCATTTTCTTGTACGTCAAGAAACATAGCCACTATGGCTAAAATGGAACATAGGGGTAAAATGAATTTCTTTGAATAAAGAACATCTCAATGGGATTTTTAAGCCACTCATTAATATATATCAAAAAGCAAAAATAATCATTGATGAGAGATTTAAGCAAAAAATTACAGGTGAGCGATTCAGGCTCTTGAGAGCCTCTTGTTTGCATTTCTTTCTTTAGTGATGATGTCATGGGACCTTCTACATTTGAGCTTGTTCACGTTGAGTAAGTCTTGTTTTTTTTTAAGTGGTAAAGATTTAAAAAAGTTACAAAGATTCTTTATAAATCTGGTCGATCTTCTGTACATTCCACGAGCAATTCTAACGATAACAAATAAAATGTAGACGATATGCAGTCTTTGTTTACTATAGGAAAACTGGCCAAATACTTATGTCTGAGTGTAAATCAGTGAAATGCAGGTCTCTTTTCAACATTTTTGATACTGACTCTCAGATGGCTATGAACACATCCAACAGTTCAATTGTAAACATCGCAGGACGTAGATACACCCAGTATAATCAAGCCGATCTCTTATGTCGAATAAAATAACTAGAGTGGACCTCGTACGTACAATAAGCTTGATACCAATATCATTCATTAGAGTAGACAATATACGTTAACAAAAATCAACCAAATCTAAAATGTATCTTAGACTTTAATATGTTCAAGTCGTAACATCCTAAGTGGGAATCGTTCCTTGCCTTTGCTTTTAAAAAATCGATTAAAAGTTATATTTTAGTTTTCAGAATACCTTAATCTATTTTCAACTATTAAAGGGTAATGCTATAGTAACATAACGAAATTGTGCGCAATTGCGTCAGTAATTTAAATCGATTAGCCTTACCCTCATTAAAAATGATTCACTAAAACATGTATCTTAAACCTGTCCCCGTTTACGCTCATTCTATTCCCAAGATTCAAACAAATTATGATATTTCATCAATAAGCACATGATGTAGGATCATTGAAAACTTCATGCCGTTACCTCCTAATTACACATGTGCGAGATTGGTAAGTTAACATGGTCGACGAATACTCCACATGTACATCTATTTGAAGGTTCCAAATGTTGCTTGATATAAATACCTTGCACCTATATAAAATATGTTGACAGTGCTGTTGTCCCAAGATCCTCCAATCAATTGACGTCTGTTGGTAAATCACAATCTACGTCAGGGCCCTCGGTCATAAAACTTTATTCAGTACTCGGAGTACAAAATATGTGCTCGAAACACCAAATCCAGGATTTTGATTGGTTAATTTATGAGTCTGAGTACGAAAATCGTGCTCGAAATTTTTATGACCGCAAGGCCAGGTATGTTTGATGAGTTTAATATATGTTTCTTGAAAAAATAATTGTTTGAAAACAAATATATACCAAAACAACAACCATTGAAAGGGATATCCCGAACATTTATATATCTGTATAATGTTTCTTTGGAATTTACAACCAAAATCTTTCTTTACCTTACTGAATATTAGATTCCAATCATTTATATTACCGAGTTGACCAAATTCTTCGTGAGACTTTTCGGAATTACTAACATTTACTAGTATCTATTAGCACACTTTGGCAAGGTTAAATGTACACAGTCTACATGTAAGTTGTGTGCAGTGTCATATCGACTACTGCTTGTCACGAAGTTGTCTGTTCATTATCTAGATCTCATTGCTATTGTCCTTTTGACACGTTACAATTGTTCAAAATCGTTATTAGTTTAAATAAACTCAACATAGATAACAGGCTCAAAAAGTTTGAAATTCATATAAAGTTTGGATGTTCAAATGGAAGTTTGCAAAGTCAAATGAACAAATTCAATCAAAAGCAGATATCTAATTAGAATAGATATTGTTAAACACCTTATATCTTTAAAATATAAAGTACTAAATGTTTGCCTCATTGACGGCTATTTTTGGCAATTATTTCCTTAAATGACGTTTTTAATAAGCTATTCATGGAAAAACTCTGTTGTCTTATATGAGCGCGATGACTATGTGTGATTTTATTGTACTACAAATATATGATCCCATGGTTTTCGTGGTGAATGTTTGGGTTTTGTACCATACCTAACGATTTCGCAGAAAAATTTCCACAATTTTGATCAAAAAAAAAAAAAAAAAAAAATCCGGCCCTTAGTATTATGCATTTGAGGACAAATTTGTGCTCGCATGAAACTTAATAATGCTTTCAAGGGGAAAATATATAAATGATATAACAACCAATCACAGATAGCCAGCATTTTTATCGCTATGTCATGTTCCCTTCACGAATGGCTGCCCACATGTAACTTTATTTAGTACTTTGTAACCAGTAAAGTAAACCCCACTATAGAAAAAGAAACTGGAACAAACAAAAAAAACTCCAGTGAAAAATTAAAAAAGTAGCAAGAAAGGAATGATAA